CGACTATGTTGAAAGTATCATTTTCTCTATCTTATTGATCATCTGCTCTATTGGAGTCCCATTAAATGGAATTGTTATTTGGCTGCTTGGCTTCCAAATGAAGAGAAACCCTTTCACAGTATTGATTCTTAATTTAGCTATTGCCGACTTTGGATTTCTCATACTTATGACTGTATATTGCATTGACGATTTTATACATGTTCTACAGTCAAGAATTCTCCAGAAAATCTTCTTTTCTCTCTCCGATGTCACATATATCAACGGTCTATTTCTTCTGACGGCCATCAGCATTGACCGGTGTGTGGCTGTCCTCTTCCCAATCTGGCATCGCTGTTCCCGGCCAAAATATTTGTCCCCTGCTGTCTGCGTCTTCCTCTGGATCTTCTCTTCCCTCCTGATGGGAATTCATTACATTATGCAATATTTGTTTTGGAATCTCCATTTGGTTGTGACTGCTGTGCTTTGCCTTCCTCTGATCACAACCTCTACTGTGATCCTATTCATCAAAATATGCCTTAAATCCAAACAGATGAAACGTGGAAGACATTTAGTGATGATCCTAATTACTCTTCTCTGTTTCCTTATTCTTAATCTTCCAATATACATCTACGTGTTCATTACTCATTTTCTTAAGACGGAGAATTTATTTGATGCTAATGAACTGGATTTCTACTTAAGTCCAAGTGCTTCTCTAAATAGCAGCGTTAACCCAGTGATTTATTTTCTGGTGGGGAGAAAGAAAAGAGCTCAGTCCAGGGAGAGCATCAAGGTCATTTTTCAAAGAGTCTTCAGAGAAGACGAAGCTCCTGAAACCAGATTAAAATTTACAAACAATTTCATAACCCTCCGCAAATGCGAAATTTCAAAATCCTGGATCTCTCTTATGAGTACAAAATTGTATTTCTTGTTTCAGAAATAAAGTATGAATAGGTTTTCTGGGCCTCCAAAAGAATGATATCAGAGTTCATCTTGAAGATTGGGGGGAAATGTGGGAAGCAAGAGTTTTCCCTCCAAAGTGTGCCATTTACACAATCCCGCAGTCATTAGATTAAGCCAACTTAAGCCAACATCCTGCTGGCTTCCGTAACCGAAGTCACTGGGGAAGTAGCCACTCAGATGAGAAAGTGGCTGATGTCGGGTGAGGAGGGGAGGAGCATAAGGGGGAAGGTGAGCAAATGGCAAACAGCAACAGGAGACTGGGCTTTGTATGAACGTGTGAAGGAGGGTCAAGGAAGATGTGCAGGGATATCCAAGTAATTTGGATGCAAAAGTGCAGATGGGCTGGGGGAGAGTGCATGGGCGGGAGAAACTTATCCCAGCAAATTGTGGCCTTTCCTGCCAGCTTCCCCACTGACTCTCTGGGCAAACCAGCAGGAAAGGTTGAAAATGGGGATCATGTCCTACAGTAGTGGCCAAAATTGTGGACACCTTTTGGGAAAAGTGTACAGTAGAAATGCCACCTTTGGTTAGGGTTCCATCATTTTTTCTTCTAATTTCTTTATAACTGTTAGCCTTGTTCACTGAATAATACTATTTTACATCGCTTTCTGGGTGACCAGTCAACTCTTTGCACCATTACTTTAATGTTATTTCATTTTACAAGCTCACTAAATGAAAGAACACAAAAAACCCCAATCAACTTGATAGCGATCACATGACACACTGACAAATGTCCTCCTCTCAGCTTCAATACATGACATCTATAACTGAATCCTACTGTGATCTGATTGGCTCATTTCCAAAACAAGGTGACACCCGATCGTCTCTCTAAACACTCATGCTCATTGGCTACAATCAGGTGAAGGAAAGCTACCTGAGATCAACCTGAGCAAGTTGTGCTTCCTTTTTCTGGTTATTTGCCTATAACTTTTCCTAGAATAAAGGAAAGATAATTGAACAAACTATGTTGCATTACATTCTTGATTAAATTATCTTTCCATTGATATATAATTTTATGGTACTATTCCCAAAAAAGGTGGTGTTATTAGCCATCAAACCTCAAATGTACACACACAGTTTGTGAACTGCTAAATTATAATTGTTCCCTTCACCTGAGTGATATTGTACCTTCTTATGAAGAACAGAATAATGGAGTCAGAAGGAATCTTGGAGATCTTCTAGTCCAGCCCCCTGCTCATACAGGAAACCCTATATTTTTTCAGACAAATGGTGGCCCAGTTGATTAGATTAGATAACCTTTATTGTCATTTTTTCCTGTGGGCACAATGGCACATATTAAAAATGAAATTTAGTTGCTTCTTCTCAAGGTGTACACATACATAACGCACATTTAAAACATACTATATACAACACATGTATAGACCTACACCCTTACATATAAGTAACATATACACATTATTCACTGTCCATCTTGAATACATAACGGAAGGAGGAAGCTTTGAGTTCACAAGGTTTTTCTTAAAAACCTCCAGTATTAATGTACCCACAGCTTCTGGAGGCAAGTCATTACACGGATTAATTGTGGACTATTTGTGACTCCCTGCATTGTGTGGGAAATGGATTGATGAGAATAGGACATTAGATACAGGAAAGAGTGACGGGTCAGTTACATTATTAATAAGCATAAAAACATGATTTACATTGCAAAAAAGGAAATGCTACCCCTGAGGCCTGCTGTGCAGAGAATCAGCACAGATTCCTTGGGGAAAAATAGAAATTTTTGAGAAGAGGCTGACCAGGCCAGGTAAGGATTCATGAGCTGGTCAGGAATGAAGAATTATTTTCATCCCAAACAGGCAGGTTTCCTCTTATGTTGAAATAAATCCATAACCTTAAATAAGTACTTTGGTCTGCGTGAACCAGAGTGTAGGAAGACTATAAAGAAAGAAAGTTGTATCATGTTTAGCATGAAGGTGTCAGGTTTGTGGGCAGATGTTCATCATAAAACTTCTCAGAAGATGGAACTAGTCCAACTGAAACTAAAAAAAATGATCTCCCTTTTCTTTCTGGTTGCCTAGGTTCTACATTCATAGCTTGTTATTATTTTGC